CGACCCCTGTCATATACCCACCAAAAATGCCAGGATGTTAGTTAGACCCCTGTCACATACCTATCAAAAATGCCAGGATGTTAGACCCCTGTCATATACCCACCAAAAATGCCAGGATGTTAGACCCCTGTCATATACCCACCAAAAATGCCAGGATGTTAGACCCCTGTCACATACCTATCAAAAATGCCAAGATGTTAGACCCCTGTCGTATACCCACCAAAAATGCCAGGATGTTAGACCCCATATACCCACCAAAAATGGCAGGATGTTTGACCCCTGGCATATACCCACCAAAAATGCCAGGATGTTAGACCCCTGTCATATACCCACCAAAAATGCCAGGATGTGTGACCCCTGACATAGGCATTGAAATCCAGCTTGGCCAAATCTATGATATTTCTTCACCCCATACCCAACTATCACCTATGTCTGAATGCTTTTGTTCCTAACAAAAAAATCTCTGCCCAATCTATATACTGAGATGGGAAAGAGGACAAAATGTGATTTTTTTTCAAACATTTATGGGAGCTTGAGATGTATCCACCACCTGTCTTATTAACATGAACAACACAAATGACACCTGTTAATTTATCCAATCATTGCACAACATCTGTACAAGGCCCCTTAACTTGTGTTCATATACATAGATGAAGTGTATTATCCATAACTTTCATACAAATTTTTCATCAAACATCATCCAGTCACAGGCAACAATTTTTAAAACATTTTTGCATATTAAGACATCTCAGATATCAACAAATATTATTCCACCTATATTTTTTATCTCAAATATTTTTATTTTCACAGACTATAGATGTTATGGCGGAATACGAGAAGCGACAGAGCAATGGAAAAGATTTACTCAATCTTGTAGTGATAGGCCATGTTGATGCTGGCAAATCCACTCTTATGGGTCACTTATTATATTTACTGGGAAACGTGAATAAGAAAACAATGCATAAATACGAACAGGAATCCAAGAAAGCTGGCAAAGCGTCATTTGCATATGCGTGGGTCTTGGATGAAACTGGTGAAGAAAGAGAAAGGTAATCTGGCATGGTTTAAAAAGTTATAAAAACTTCAGTGATTACTTCTTTTTAGTCTTCTACTGAACTATGAAATATGACTGACTAATAAAGTTGTTTATCTGAAGTTTTTTTAGCGTTTGTTGGACTGTAGACAAAAATTTAAATTTACAAATTTATCCACTCACTTAATGACAGGAGTTTATTTCTAGACCATACCTCTTTCAAACTGGTCATTATGTGAGAATTGATGCATCGATTGCAAAATTTTAGAAAAGCGCATCTCCCTTCACAGACTAGATTTGTATCATTCATTTTGTGTAATATGAGCCATTTTCCCTCAGAAATAGCAATTATTAATACATGAAAACTTTCCAGACTGAAAAATTAGGCTTCTTTTGATGTGTGAAATAAGAGCTGGAATTAACTTTTGCTGAAAAGACTTTTTGGGTGTTTTGTTATTTTTACTGATTTTTGATGAGTTGCATATGAAATATAGGAAATAAGGTATATTCGCTGGATTTTATTTTCACTGAATTATCCATCCCATCAGTGTAAATATCTAAAATAATTTCCAAACTATTTTACAGTAAGTATACTATTTATATGGAGACAGTATTACAATTCTTAATGAATGCTGGAGGACACATTTGTCTCCTGTAATTGGTCCCTCCACTCTCACATACACCATATTTTTATTTTGACATTGACATTTATGATGCCATGTTCTGTTTGCAGGGGGATTACAATGGATGTCGGATTAACTAATTTTGAAACTCCGCAAAAACTAGTTACGTTATTAGATGCACCGGGTCACAAAGATTTTATACCAAATATGATTACAGGAGCTGCCCAGGTGAGAATAAAATCAGATGTCTAAGGATCTGATAGCCATGAAATCAATGGCCACATGTGAATGCGCTATAGACAAATTTTTTTAGATGTTCTGCAATTCATGTTTATTCTGTAATCCTCGAGGGCGGAGCTACGTCACAAGACGTTCCATGTTGTTAAGACGTGTACCACGTATTTCTATGGGCTCTGTGCGCGCTGCTGTAGAACGCCGGTCGAAGAGCCAGTAAAAACAGCTGAAGTTGAGAAAACAGCACAAGTAATCCTGGACAACAAAATTTATATATGTTGGACATGTAGGGTTGATCTTGTTACACTGTTCAGAGGAGTCTCAACAACCAACCCAAAGTACCGTTTTCTGAAAGTTTTCAGCCTTTGTTTTCATCGTGATGGTTGCCAGGCGGTGAAAATGCCCGGATGTCCGCCTTCGAGAATTGCTTTTATTAGAAGTCATGCATGACAGAGGCGTATCAAAATGTGATTCTGTATATAATAAATGCAATTTTTGGTTGATCTGTTTGAAGTGTACAATACTTTTTATGAAGCAAATTCATGCCATCAACTGTGTCATATAATACCGTATTTGTTTTATTAGAAGCACATCTCCAATATATGTGCAAATACAGTGTTTTTAAATACTGTGTTTTGATTCCCATATGTGAAGAAAGTACAATGTAAAGCTCATTCTGAGTGTAACAGTGACACAGGTCAATATGTATATCAATAACAACTTGATGCAGGACAATTATATACTGTGTTCATACGTGTGCCAATAGAGCCATCTTGACTAACTTGTAACAATCAATATCTGTGGTTCTGTGTTCACATGCGTGCCAAAAAGCTGCCTTGGATTTCACACGTGCTAAAGCCGTTTTTGTAAGAACGGGGTGTCAGTCGAGACTTGCCATTTCAGGCTCATCGTGTTCACATCTGTTTCAAAGACGGCTTCACTACAAAGCTGGTCGGCTTTTCGCCACTTGTGTGAACGCGATATTATACTCCCTATGTTGTTACATTGTACCAACAAAACACAATTTTTAGACCCAGTGTATGCCATAAATCACATTGGCTGTTTACTATATCTTTGAAATATTACTTATTTTAGCCGTAAACCAATCTCACATATACGCTACTAATAGGAAGCTATTACAGTAGTCATCAAATTTAAAAACCTCATATTACCAGCAGCTGAATTTATTTTCTTTTTCTTTTTCTGTAGGCTGATGTTGCCACCTTAGTTGTGGATGCAAGCCGTGGAGAATTTGAAGCAGGGTTTGATGCCGGTGGACAAACAAGAGAACATGCCTTATTGGTTCGGTCGCTCGGTGTTACGCAGTTAGTGATAGCTGTTAATAAACTAGATAATGTTGATTGGTCCCATGCTAGGTATGAAGAAATCGTGTCTAAATTGGGTCACTTTTTAAAGCAAGCAGGTTTTAAGGTTAGTAAACCCGGGATGTATGTTTGATCCTTGATAACCCTTGATAAGCATTGACTTGTATATTTGTTAAGCTTTTTACTGCTACAACAACTTCTGCAAAAATTTGAGTATAGCTTTTGCAGTTTGCATGTGTTCTATAATTTCATTGTTAATTTTAGACCAAATAGACAAAATTTTTCATTGCCTACAGGGGTTGATCACATTTTTTGAGACAAAAAGTATGGGTTTTTTTGTGAAAGATAGCTAAAACGTTAAAAAGTGATTCATTGAAAATTAAATTTTTATAACAGTGCCCAAGTGAATCACTGAATGATTGATTTATATGCAAACTTTTCTTGACGATGAGAAAAAACAAAAAACAAACACTGCGGACAATGTCCTTGTTTTCGTGTTTTATCAATGTACTGTAAAAACATTACCAGTAATTTCCAGAGTTATTTAATTTTACTATTATGGGCATATTGTGAATTAAATCTTTTTAGCTAACATGTTATTTTAGCTAATTTAGCTAAAATCCACAATTTCACTACGGTAATTCAAGATTGCTAATTTAAAATAAATATATTCTCACAATGAGATTGTTGGCACTTTGGCTAAATTAAGATTCTATTAATTCATGCATTAAGTCAAGTTCTCTAAAATTGCAAATAAGTTTCTATAATTGTTTCGCCTAACAGGGAAAATATCAAAATTTAATTTACAATATCCGTTTTCTGTTCCCGCTGTACAAAGTGATGAATAAGTGTTTTTATTTCAGGACTCTGAGGTGTCTTATATTCCCTGTAGTGGACTTACAGGTGAAAATCTAGTGCTGCCACCCAAAGAAAGTAAACTCAAATCATGGTACAATGGATGTACTTTAGTGCAACAGATTGGTGAGTTGTGGAAGGGAATCAAGACAATAATTAGTGGTCGTAGCGCAGCGCGTGTTCGAATTTCATGTAAATAAACAATGTATTTTACACGCGTTGTATACGTCGCTATGAGTCCCATATCGAACAGGACACGGTACGATGACAACCGCCCTTCAAAGTATCGTAATGGTCATTTCGGAAACTTAATAATTCACTTTGACATTTGAAGTCTTATTAAAATTGTAAGAATTGAAAGTGCCCTAGAAAATGATTCGCACAGTAGATATGCTCGTTTAGTATGATGTTATTTCAAGGACATTTCACACTAGTATACATAGTGGGGGTTAGTGCAGTCGTATAATCAAAAACTTGCAATGACTTTTTTGAAATAAAAATTATTAGAATAGTTAATATTGTTAATCTGTTAATGTCATCAAATATATAACCTGGTTCTGTTATTTCTATGACTAATGTACAGAGCTCAAAATTTATGGCAGTAATATCCCTTAGATGCCTGACCTTATTGCCTTGATGTCCTTCAGTACTACCTCTCATTTCAATCAATCCATGACATATTTCAAAATGTTGGCGTTGAAATTGGGTACCCTCAAAATAGCTCTGGATGTATAGTACCGTAAAATCTGTATTGGAAGCCGCATCTCTAATAGAAGCCGTACCCATTCTTTTTGAACAATTGAGACCCAAAAATTCATCATTTCTTGTATGTGTAGGTGCTCTAATAGAAGCCGCATCCCCTCTGTTGCATTGTACCATTTTAATAGAAGCTGCAGCTTTTAATACAAATTTTACAGTAATACATTTTCTCATGTTTTGTTGACAGATAAGTTGAAACCACCAAAGAGACCTCTTGACAAACCTTTCAGGTTATGTGTTTCAGACATTTTTAAAGGTTGGTTGGGTTTTTTTTTCACTTTCTCCATATACACTGCAGTAAGGTACACCCACACTCATTCAAATAAAACAACAAGTACACAATTATGTGAAAGGAAACATTGGGATAATTATTCAATTACCTCGTATACTGTTTCTGACTTTACATTGTTCACACTCAGCTCTTGCATTGATCCTCCTTTCCCTGCCTGGGTATCCAACAGTGTGCCCCTCTAACAGGAATGATTTACTGTAAAATACTTTATTATTTATTAATTCCAAGTGAAAATAAAGTATTTTACAGTAAAAGGGATTCAAAGTAGAAATCTAAGTTCAAGTTGATAGGCTTGTTGACTGCTGGGGTGACCGGTCTTCAAGAAAAAATTGTACGTGGCCATACAGGCGATTTGAGGCACAAAGTCTTATGGTCCCTGATGATCTTAGTTTTTACAATTATTCTGTTCATAAAATGTGAATTTATTTTCTCCAAATTACAAATTCCATAAAATGTTTGTCAAGATCACTATAATCAATGTATGATTTCCTGTTGCGTCAATTACATGCAAGTTAATTAGCCCAACTAGTTGCGTCACAGCAAAATCTTTGTGTGTCAGTGGCATGTCATATCGCCTTTAAGTGCACACTGGTACCCAACTATCGTTTTACTGATTACCCATTCTCCAGTAGTGCCTGCTAATATTTTACTCATTAACTGTTTACTGCAACATCATGGATGGTCACGCTTTCGTCAGTCATCTCCATTTCAGTTATCAGTTGATATTTATTGGCCAATCAATGTCACTCACCGGCCACAGAGGCAAAGTCAATATGTCCACTCTAGTGCAGTGAATTTAGCAGGATTCCGCTTATCTGTCAGAATAGTGAAATTTAAAACACACTGAATAATTAATGCATTCACAGTACTCTAGGTAGTTATTTTAATATTCATTAGATTTATTAGCAAACATCCTTTTTTTAGCTCCGCTGTCGACTTTGTCGAGCGGAACTTATCATATGAGTGATTGTCTGTCGTCCGGCGTCTGTGTCAATGTTTTACTTTTTCGACTTCTTCTTGAAAACTACAAGGCTGAATGCTTTGATACTTAGTGTATATGTACTTTGGGTAGACCTCTCTCAGATTTGTTCATTTCATGATCTTATTTTCAATTCTCTAATTTTAGTGAATATTATTGTCATTTTTGGTAAAAAGTGATATTTTCAACTTCTTGTTAAAAACCGCAAGTCTAATTGCTTTGATGTTACATATATAGGTACTACATGTGGACCTCTCTCAGATTTGTTCATTTCATGATGATATCTTCAATTCTCTAATTTTAGTGAATATTTTTGTCATTTTTGGTAAAAAGTGATACTTCCGACTTCTTGTTAAAAACCGCAAGTCCAATTGCTTTGATATTACATATATAGGCACCGGTACTACGTGTGGACCTCTTTCAGATTTGTTCTTTTTGTGATGATATCTTTAATTTTCTAATTTTAATGATTATTTTTGTCTTTTTTCGTAAAATGTGAATATTTTCGACTT